CTGCGGTGGCTGGGAGCAGCCCTGCACTCTAGTCTGGGCGACAGAGTGAGACTCCAACTCAAAAAAAAAAAAAAAAAAATAGAATGGCTGTTGGAGCCGGGCTGAGTGGTTCAGCCTGTAATCCCTTGTTTGGGGAGGTTGAAGTGAATGGATTGCCTGAGCCCGCGGGTTCGAGACCCTCCTGGGCAACTTGGCAAAACCTCATCTCTACAATAAATAAAATAAAATAAATTAGCCAGGCATAGTAGTGCGCGCCTGTAGTTCCAGCTACTTGGAAGGCTGAGGCGGAAGGATTGCCAGAGTCCAGCATGTCGAGGCTGCAGTGGCTGGGAGCAGCCACTGCACTCCAGTCTGGGCGAGAGTGAGACTCCAACTCAAAAAAAAAAAAAGAATGGCTGTTGGGGAAAGTGAATGGAGCTTGGACTTTTGACCTGAAATATTGGGCTTCTTACGGTATAGGATTGGGGGCTGGACCCTGGCTGTGGGTCTCTATTTTTAATTCCTTTTTTCTTTTAATTTTTTGATTTTATTGTAGAGATGGTCTCGCCTACCCAGGCGGGTCACGAACCCGTGGGTCCTTTTTTCTTATTTAGAGATGAGTGTCTTACTGTATTCCCCAGGCTGGTCTCAAACTCCTGGGCCCAAGTGATTCTCCTGCCTCAACCTCCCAAGTAACTGACTCTTATCCCTGGCTATGGATGTTAGGGATGATCAATCCATAGGACCGGAAGGGATGAGCACTATGTATAGTGAGGCTCAGATGCTGGAGCTAGAGGTGACTAACATTTGTTTTTTTTTTTTTTTTCTTTTTTTGAGTCAGAGTCTCACTCTGTCGCCCAGACTGGAATGCAGTGGCCGCTCCCGGCCATCACAGCCTCGACCTGCTGGGCTCTGGCGATCCTTCCGCCTCAGCCTTCCAAGTAGCTAGAACTACAGGTGCATGCTATGATGCCCAGCTAATTTTTGATTTATTGTAGAGATGAGGTCTCTCCAAGTTGCCCAGGTGGGTCTCAAACCCGTGGGCTCAGGTAATCCACTCACCTCGGCCTCCCAAAGCACTGGGATTACAGGTTGAGCCACCGAGCCTGGCCTGATTTTTTAAAATTTAATTTATTGCAGAGATGAGGTCTTGCCAAGTTGCCCAAATGGTCTCAGACTCCTGAGCTCAGGCAATCCTCTCACCTCTGCCTCTCAAAATTCTGGGATTACAGGCATGAGCCTCTGTGCCTGGCGGGAAATGCAAGATTTTTAAAAATAAATATAAACTTGGGCTGGGTGTGGTGGCTCATGCCTGCAGTCCCAGCATTTTGGGAGCCCTTGGGTTCGAGACCAGTCTGGGTAACTTGGTAAGACCTAATCTCTACAATAAAACAAAAATTAAGCCGGGCTCAGTGGCTCAGCCTGTAATCCCGCACCTTTGGGAGGCTGAGGGGAGTGGA